TCTGAGCCCTCTGGCAGGGCTCACTGCATCACGCCCAGTGTCTGCACGTGCTCTCAGGGCTCTTGTCGTGAGGATTCCAGTTGCATTTGCTGCCTGTGGGTCTGAGTTCCATCTCCGCTGTAGGTTTCAGCTCATCCGTGCTGTCTCCTTGTCTTCCCTCCTCTCCTCGTCCCCTCAGTCCTTCCTGCTCCCTGTAATCTGATTGTGGTGGTTTCATCCAGCTGGGAATTAAGGTGAAAGGCTGCAGGAGAAAGAGTGATAACATGCAGCAGGTAAACTGGAATTTGACATGAATCAAAGCCTAGCAGGATGCTTTCCACGCTGGCTGTGGATCCCCTGCCAGCAGCCAGTGCATCCAGCCCTTGGTGACAGTGTGGCCTGTTCAGGGGTGATGCTCAAGGCAGGGATGGATTTGGTTGTCCTTGGCATGGCTGATGCTCTGCTGCCTTGAAGCAACACACCCCAGCAAGACAGTTCATGCCACAGTGCAACTTGTCAGGCTGCAGAGCTGCTTTCAAACTAAAGCAGTGGAAAACAAGCCCAGGAGTTCCCCCAGCAGTGCTGGGTACAGGCAGAAAGCCTGGGGGAATGGCTGGCACCCCTCCCCGGGCTGTTTGGGGGCTCTGGGGAGCTGCTGCTCTAGGAATGCCAGTGGTGAAGAGGATCAAAGCTGTCTGCACCCTGCTGGGTGCTTGACAAGTGCTGATTTCTCACGTCTTGCTTTCTGCCCTCCCAGTCAGCAAGGAGCAGTTGTGCTGTTTGAGGTCTTTCCAGAGTTAATCCTTTGGATTCAAATTATGGCCCTGACAAGAAAAGCAAGAGTTGGGAATGTAAAAGGATAAGCACTTAGGAAGAACTGAGGAGAAATTGCTAAGCATGAAGTATAGGAAAGCAAGAGTTGGGAATGTAAAAGGATGAGCACTTAGGAAGAACTGAGGGGAAATTGCTAAGCATGAAGTATAGAGGCAACAGCCAAATGCCACAGTGCTTCATTGCACCTCTCAAATGAGCTGTCATTGGGGAAGGGATGAGGGAGAGTCTGGAGAGCAAGAGGATCTCAGAGGGATGGTCCTCTGCTGCCTCCATGGCTGAGCAGAGCTGTCTGGAGGCAGCAGTGCCAGGGACACTGTTAGGAACTTCTATTAGGAACTGCAGTGACAGGACAAGGAGTAATGGGATTAAATTGAAAGAGGGAAATTTAGATATCAGGAAGAAGTTTTTGCTGTGAGGGTGGTGAGACACTGGCACAGGTTGCCCAGGGAGGCTGTGGCTGCCCCAACCCTGGCAGTGTTCACAGCCAGGTTGGCTAAAGCCTTGAGCAACCTGCTCTGGTGGGAGGTGTCCCTGCCCAGGGCAGGGGGCTGGTGCTGGATGATCCCTAAGCTCCATTCCAAGCCCTTAACATGATACTATGAGCAGAGAGTTGTGCTGTGCTGGGAGAAGAGCTGTAGGGAATGCAAGCACAGGAGCAGCTTGTCTAGTTGCTGGGACTGAAGGTTACCCCTTGGGGGAACCATCAGTTGCAGAACTCACCATGTTTCAGTGGGGAGGTTCCTTGTGTTGTGAGGCTGAAGCCAGAGTGGAGGGAGAGGATCCAGGGCTGGGCATGGATCCTGTAGCTCACACCTCCATGAGAGGTCAGTGGTGTCTGTGCCAAGAGCTGAGCTGCTGGACAGGGTCGAAAGGATAAATCAGAATTCAGGGAAACTCAGGCAGAACTCAAGGTGTGAGCCAATGCTGAGACCTGCCCATAGTATGTAAGACCCATTAACCCCAGCCTGAACAACTCTTCAGAGTGTTTGCAGGGATTGAAGAGAAGTGGTAGCACTTAATCCTGCAGTTCTGCTGTCTCAGAGCTTGTTGGGCACCTGCTCATCTAACACCTTTCTCAGGCACCTGAAAGAAGGTGACAAACACATTGCAGTGGCTCCTGGTGAGGGCAGGGACACAGTACCGGCGATTTGAGGAGGTTTGGGCTGGGCATGGGGAAATGAGGATGCAGCTGTACATCCTTGAATCACACCAAGGTGGTCTCACCTTCAGCTCTGCCTGTCCTGCCTTGGTTCCTCTGCAGTACAGCAATGTACTGGCTGGGGCTGGTTGTCCCAGTGGACACTCACTGGTGAGCACTGGGAGCTGTCTCAGTTCCCAGAACAAAGTGGCTGTACAGGAGCACCACTGTGGATGCTGTGAAGAATTTATGTGTGCTTGGGGCAGGAGGAAGGTTGCAGCAGCCCCTAGGTCAGGAGTGTCCTGCCATTCTGTCTTGCTAATTGAAGCACAACCATGGAAACGAGGGGAAACAGATGGACTTGGGCATCAGGAGCAGGAGTTTGCAAGGAAATGGGAAGCTGATTGCTCTTCATGGGCTGTGAAATGTGTGAACAGGTAGATCTGACCTGGAGCCACCTGAAAACACAGGACTGGAGGAACCTTCAGGAGCACTGAGGTCCTGCTGTGACAGCCACCACAGCACACAGTGCTGCTTCGGTTAGCTCTGGAGACGTGGATTTGCTTTTCTGCTGGAGGCTGCTCCAAGCTTTTTCCTGAGTGTTTAGGAACTATGTTGCAGTTTGCAGCCCAAATTTATTCTTGGGCAGCTTGGTATCTGTGTCTCCTAGTCTTAGCATTGTCTTGGCTTAACTTGGATCTCATTCTTCTGGAAGTAATTGGAGAGCAGTCACATCCCTCAGGGAATTCAGCTTTTGGCTGCTCTCTGCTCTGCTCAGCCAGTGTTGGTTTGACTTAAGCTTGGTGAGGTGACTAGAGTGCCACCCAGCACTCTGGGGAGGAGCTCATGGGGACCTGGTGCCACAGCACTGGCACCACCATGGGCACAGGAAATGTCTCTGCAGCTGCATTTCATGGCTGTGTCCTCATAGCAGGTGTTGATCCCATCCTGGTCACATACCTGTTCTTCTCCCCTGTTGTTGTCACCTGCAGGTTCCAGCTTATGGGACAGTGCTTCAGGTGCACATCTGTGTCTGGCAGCTGGATTTGCCTCCTTACTGGTTATTCATTCTAGATTTATCTTTTCTGCAGCATTTCAGATGCTGCTTTCTGTAGCCTGACATGGGCAGACATCAGCAGATTCTATCAGGGAATCCCTAGTATTTGTGCCATTAGATGACCCAGGGCTCAAGGATGATCACCAGCAGATTCCTTGGCAGTTGCTTCCTGGTGGTGTTGTGTTCCCTCTCTAGGCACTGCCTTCTGCTTTCCCTCTCAAACCTCTGTTCTGTGCCTAGCACAAAGCTTCTGTAATCCATGTCCTCTATCTCAGCTGCTGCCCATCCATATCCAACACATTGCTGAATTCCAGGTCAATGAGACTGACCTCTCTTCCCTCGTGTGAGAGATGAGGATTTCCCCATGGAGAGGAAGGTGTTGGATCAGTCTCTTCTGGTAACACCTGCCATGGTTGTGCTATGTCCCTGCCCTTGCCTTCAGAGCCTGCCACAAGCCTTGTCATGTTGCTGAGGTCAGTCATGGGATTTTGCTGCCAAAATAATTTTTTCACCTTCTTTTTCACATGTTGGCACCACATTTCCAGTCACTGATCAGCACATTGCTGAGTTCTGCTAGAATTTGCTGCAGCAAAGCAGGAGTTCAGGTGTGCCAGAGCTCTTGGCTTCCTCTGCCCCTTCATGTCCCCAAGTGTGAGATCACTCAGTTGTCTGTCAGTCACTGGTGGATATTTTCACTCCTATCCTTTGAGCCTTGTCCCAGTGTTCAGCATGGCTGTGCCTGAAGTGAATCCCAGACTGGTTTGGCTTGGAAGGAACCTTAAAGCTCATCGAGTTCCCCCCCCTGCCATGAGGGGGGCCCCCTTCCACTAGCCCAGGTTGCTCCAAGCCACATCCAACCTGGCCTGGAACACTTCCAGGGATGGAGCAGCCACAGCTTCTCTGGGCAACCTGTGCCAGTGCCTCAGCACCCTCACAGGGAAGGATTTCTTCCCAATATCCCATCCAAATTTGCTTCCTCACACCAGCCTCTCCCATGTGCCATCATTTGCTGGCAAGGACATCCTGCTTTCCTTTTCTCTCAATCTCTCAATCCTTACCTTTCTACCCAGTGTCCCTCACTCCATCCCATGTGCTTATTCCTTCTGAGGCTAAAACACAGGTCTGTCTCTGCCTTTGCACTGGCTCAAAACACAAAATGAGTTAAAATCTCACTTTATACTTCATAGTATGTGAAGGGGTTGGGATGGACCTCAGAGATCACCCAGCCCCAACCCCCTGCCCTGGGCAGGGACACCTCCCACCAGAGCAGGTTGCTCAAGGCTTTAGCCAACCTGGCTGTGAACACTGCCAGGGTTGGGGCAGCCACAGCCTCCCTGGGCAACCTGGGCCAGTGTCTCACCACCCTCACAGGGAAAACTTCTGCCTAAGATCTCATCTCAAGTTCCCTCTTTCAATTTCTCTCCATCCATCTTTGTCCTGTACCTGCAGTTGCTAACCAAGAGTCTCTCTGCAGCTGGCGCTCCCAGCTCCTGGCAGGTGTCTCTGAGGTCTCCACACAACCTTCTCTTCTCCAGGCTACACAACCCCAACTCTCTCAGCCTGTCCTCGTAGGGAAGGTGCTCCAGAGCTCTGATCAGCTTTGTGGCCTCCTCTGGCCTTGCTCATTGATGCTCTGACTCCCTGCCCTCTGAGGTGCACAGCTCCAAGGAAATGATCTGCTTGTTCTCAGCATCCTTCTGGAATTGAGTGTTTATCCACTGGTGTTTGGGTCCTTCTCTGCCCCTTTATTTCCTCTCTGATGATGCACATTCATGAGGTTTGTGGCGTCTTTGAACTGAGTATTTTCATTTTACCCTGATCATTGGAGTGCAGCTCTGGGTGTTATTCCCTTTCCTTATTTGCTTCAAATTTGTCCTTTCAAGCCAGAGTTCTGCTTTTGGTTTGTCCATCCACTAACTTACACCAACCTCATTTGTGATCCCCTGCAGCCTGACCTGTGTTTGCATCACTTTTATCAACCACTGTAAAAAAATAACCCAAACCCAAACCTGATGAAGCCTTTAAAATGCATCACCTTGCATTGTGGTTCTGTGGCTGTTGGTTGAAGGTTGTGCAGTTTTGACACAGAGATGTCCAGAGACATTACCAAGAGCATTTGTTTCCCATTTCTGTCTGGGCAGTAAATGTTTCTTTCAAACACTTGTCCTGAGGATGGAATTGTCTTTCTAGCAATGTTAGAGGTGAGAAGGTACCAGAAGGTGATTGGGATATATTGAGAGGATATACTCTGGGGATAGAGGAGAGGAGAGGCTCTACCTCCATCCCACTGGCACCTCCTGGTCCTTGTGGAGCTCCATGTGGACAACATGTGTCTGCAGCTGCTGCATGTGAGCTCCCACACTGAGGAATTTCATGTTTCCTTGGTTCAGCACCACATTTCACTTTGGCCTCCCTGACAAGCTTTCCTCAGGGTGGGAAAGGGAAGACCTGCTCCCAGCCTCTACCATGGCCATGTAACAACATCAGCCTGCAAGGTTCCTTACTCACCTCATTATAGAGGCACAAACCCCAGGCAGACAGAGGGAAAGCAAAATAAGGTTTATCCTTATCGAGAGCTCTTATCGCATCTCTTAGATCAGAGTGAACTATCTACAGCTGAAATACATCACCACCATGGTGGTGGTCATACTGGTGTGGGCCGCAGTGCAAGCAGCTTGTCCTTGTTTCCTAGAGGGATATCAGTAGAACAGGGACTATTCCCTGCCTCTGTGTTTCTCCTGAATCAACTCAGTTGTGCCCACGTAGTGCTTCCTCCCACCTGTACCTCCGTGTGTTCGGTGATGTCCCCGTGCTCCCCGCCGTGCCCATCACCCCTCGTGCACCCATCCCTGCCCTGTGCCAGTTGCTGGGACTGCTCCAGGCTGGTGTCAGCTCCTGGCATGTGT